TGCAGTTGCTGCATCTCGCCTCTTGTTTTCCTGTACAGACTCTCGTGTTATGTGCTTTTGCACATTGACCGCACTTCGCTTCTGCAGTGCAGACTTTTGCTATGTGCCCGTACTTCTGGCAGTTGAAGCATTGCATGGCGCGAAACCCAGACCGGAAGAGCTCTGCCGGTTTGACTTCGTATCGCCACATTACTCCCTTTTTGATTGTTCTGTCTGCTGATTCCGCTTCATCGAACCACAGAATCAATGATCCCGATGATTTTCCCAGGATAGAAGATCTCTTTAACCATGCGGCCTTTTGTATTCTGATACCTTGTAGGTATAAGGCATTTGCTTGTTGGAGTAGTTTGATTTGGTCATGACTTTCCGGCTCAAATGATAGCGGCATATCGTGAACTAGGACTTGGTACATAGGACTTGCTACCTGTACTGTAGGTGCAAGCTTTGTGGTCCACTCCTTCTGTTTCTCGACCATTTCCTTCGATTCTTGACCCGTGAAAAACACTTTTACTTGTCCACTAGACATCTGCTTCGCTGCTATAACCTCATTTATTCCCATCTTCTTTACCAGCTCCTCGCTCGAGAGTCTGGCGATTGCTTTCTTTTCATCTTCATCATGAATTCTGATCGTGGTGCTGGCAACTTCAGCTTTTCCAGCTACTTGTGCCCAGGAATGTCCTTGTGTACGAGCTGAGGCTTTTGTCAGTGAGATTGAAGCTTTAATGGTTTGGATTTCCTGAAGGATCTTAGCTATTGTTGGACTTTCATCACTAGCTTTGTGGGTTGTTTCCGCTTTCGCGTCGCGAATTCCTTCAATTACGCGTATTGCTTCGTTAATGATCTTCTTGTATGCTCTGGTTGAGAGCTCATCTCCTTTAACTGCTTTCTTGAACCTCTTTAAGGCTGTATCAGTATCTGTGGCATTGTTCGACGCGTCGTTTCCGGCTCTCGGGGCCGTGTGGGACTTTCTACTGTGAGAATCCTTGATAGGATTACTCTCCATCACTGTTAGGATAAGACTGCAACTTCACGGGATTAAAATCGATGGGGGCAGATTTTTCAAAATGATGATGTTTTGAATATTATTATTATTATTATTATTATTATTACCAAGCAGACACAAACTCAAAAGCCTCGGCGGTTAGCAACTGCAGATTCCGAAACTTGGAGAGCAGCCACATTTTACCAAAGTAGAGAGTCTGGACGGCAAAAACTGAGTTTTCAAGGCTCACCATTCTTCCTACACCGTAACCTCACAAGGGCCCAAAGCAGTTTGGCAATGCAAATACGAAGTGAGCACATGGGGCTTAACTCGTATTTACACAGAAGAAACGTACCCGGAGTATTAAGTCCAGGTTGTCCATGCGGCTACCAATCACAGAACCCAAAGCACATGATTATGTCCTGCCCCCAATGGTCAAATGGTAGAGCTGAGATCTGGAGACAAGCCAAAGATCGATCCTATGAAGCGATGTTAAATAATCCTGGAGATATAAAAAGGATAACACAGTGGATCCTAAACCATGGTTGGATAGAGCAATTCCAGATGACAAAAGCGGTCGAAATACTGCTGAGGGAAAGGAAAAGGTCAAATAATGCTGGGGGAGGATAAAGATGATCTGGTTAGTTTACATGGATGGCACTATAGTGTAACTGCGCTTCCTGAAGAAAATATGTGAGGACTATAGACAACAAATAGAAAGGTGTGGGAGGTTTTCACCATGAAGGTTTCCTCCCGGGTAAATATTATAGACTGTAGACACCTGCATGGGCCCATAGGGCGCCAAATCAGGATAATGAAATCAAATTCAATTATTATTTCTATCAACGTCGTGCTAGCTCACAACACACACAATTTTTTGAAATTCGAATCTTCACCTTTTCCCCCTCTCCCTCCTTCTCGCACTCGTCGCATTCTATCAAATCATTGTGATCGAGTCACTGGCATTTTCACCATGCCACCTGTTCGAAAAAAAAAAAAAAAAAAAAGCGTCCCAACGCCAAGTTGGACAACACGAGAGTCCACCTGAGGGCTCTCGAACGAGTACCTGGCCTTGCCCAGTCTCCGAAATGCGCGGAGATGGGCAAGGGCTCAATCAAAGGGAAGGAAAAAGCCCTCCCCGCCGTCACTGAACCCGATCCTGACATGATCGGGTCAGTCGAAATTGTTGAGGAAATTCCTCAACGATCCTCTGTCCCCCACGGGATTGGAGAATCGTCCAAACCTTCTCCGACCACCTCAAAACCGTCGGAAAACGCTGCACCTTTTTCAGCGCCAAAATCAACGTCGCAGCCAAAAAGCTGCCACGAAAGCAGATTGCCCTCCAGAACTTCGACCAATTGTCGAAGCCGAATAACGACGCGCCGCCGAAACAGCGGCAAATCTGGCCCACTGCTCCGCCGCCATCTCTGGTGTCGAAGCCACCCTCCTCCCTTTGACCAACGGGTCAAATAGACAATTCGTAGACTCGATGAGAGCCTACCTACGCGCCGCCATCGCGCAATACATGGCCACGGGCCCGGCCACTACGCCACCCGTCCTCCCTCCTCGCCCGACGAACCCTCCCCCAAGGGCTCCCGACGCCAGGAGCATACACATTCCCGCCGTCCCAGTTCTGCCTGTAAAAAGCACCTGGGCCACGGTGGCTAGAAACGGACTGCGACAGAAAGCAGTCCCAATGGTAAAGGCTGTGCCGAAACCTGCGGCAAAGGCCCCAAATAAAGATGCTCCGAAGGCTAAAGTCGACAAACGACTGTTCCTTCGCTTAGAAAAGGAGGACCCGTGGCGCCAGCTTTCGCCTGCTGGCCTACAGCAACAACTACAGAGTGAGCTAGGTTGCTTCTTGGGTGACGCCTGCTCTATATTCCGTGATAGAACCGGCTTTGCGATTCTGACAGGGAATGAAAATAAAATGGAAGAGCTCCTAGATGCAGCACCAAAGTTTTCGGACTTCGACGCCAAGCTCGAGGAAGCCTCCAACCTTGTCGCCTTTCGGATCGCGAATGTTCCGGCGACCATAAAAACAATCGACTGTACTTATACGGTCAATGCGGATTGGATCTCATTGGAGATCTACCGAAAAACACAAAAGCTTCCATACAAGGTGCTACCGCACGGGACATGCCGTCCTGGAGCGCCGCACAGAAATTGGAAAGCCCTTTTCGACCGGAACAACGCCCCTCGCCCGGGCTTCCGCATTCTCGAAGAGGCTGGTATGGCTACTATTCTCAAGCCACGACCATAAATTGAACAGTGCAAACGCTGTTTGGGCTTCCACACCACCCGTGGTTGCTCTCGCGCTCCAGCCTGCTGGAACTGCGGATCTAACATGCACTTGGAATCTGAGTGCAAGGCCCTCACTAAGTGTCGTAACTGTGGAGGACCTCACCGATCGGATTCTCGGGCCTGCCAAGTCAGACCCAAAATTTCGGACCTGTGACAAAAGAGCAGCTCGCGTGGATCCGCCACATAGAACAAGGGGAGTTCTCAAAGGTGGCTCGAGCTAGGGCTGCAGCCAAAAAGGCCGAAGAGGCGATCATCGCCGCTGCGAAGGACGTCTCAATGGCCGAGGCTACAGGTTTCGGAGCCCTGGAAACTGAAGAAGAAGTTTGAGGACACAGCAACCTCGACGATGTCCCCTTTGGGGCATCTACTAACTTTTAGCAGGATACGGCTGGATAAAAGGTTCCTGCTAACCCATCTTTTGCTCTCAGCGGAGAATGGGCAAATTTGTTATTTGGAAGGTATGACGGACGAGGGAATATGTGAGGAGCACATTGCTTGGGTCCAATTTGGAGGAATCTTCTGTTTTCTCTCTTTTATCGGAGTTATTTTGATTTTCTTGATTTTTCGTTTCAGTTTAATCAGTTGCACTCTTGGTAGCGATTCACGAGGTTGGAACGAGTTAGGCTGTAGGAAAATTTACAGGGAACTCCGCCGGATCCGCCGGTCCTTGACCCATTGTGGATAAAGAGCTTTAGCTATGGACCAAAAGTAATAAAAAAAAAAAAAAACAGCTGTCAGCCCCTCTGCTTTCAAATTTAAATGTAGCAAATTTCCTTCTACCAGGAACTTCACTTTTTTTTTTACAATTTTAAATTATACCCGCAGAACAAGAAAATAAGAATAAAACCTTCCATCTAAAATTAACCCCATACCAGATCGTAAGGGAAAACAGGGGCCACATTAGGTGCGCATAACTGTCTTTAGCTCCCTTCCTTGTCACATGATTGGCTGACTTGATCTAATCCCCAATCTCCGTATCGGGTGCTGGGTACACTCCGGAAACTTATCCGACGACTTTTCCTCAATGATCAAGTGTTGGTGATGAGTAGGGCTCCGATCCTACCATCTAATCTGATCGTGATTAGCTTCATCATAATGGTGGTAGGGGATGTGTTGAGAGATGAAGACGACATAGGCTGGGAAAAAGACTGGGAATCCTCATCGAGATGAGGATGGCTTTGGAGAAAAGTGGATTGGAACGACGGAGAAGGATAAGCTAAGGAGAGGCGCAATCTCAAAGAAAGATGGATGAAGAAAAATCTGCATCCGCAACTTCTTGCGCGAAGGGATGAATTATAGCTCAACTGAAACTGAGACTCAGGCCAGAGATTGTTCCATCACGCTAGCCATATTCGACGCTCTTGGCCGATGGAATCCTCAACACAAAGACCTCGAGCCAAGTGTGGGAAGAGAACTCGTGATGCAGACTCAACCAGTCGTAGTTCATGCTCGATAGATTGGCAATTTACTGCACCTCTGAAGTCTCTCTGCTGTGCTCCACCCATCTAAGTTTGGAAAATGAGGATTCGGCGACGATGATGATGATAGGAAGAAAATAGAGGCAAAAGCTGTGTATAAAAATCTTGCATCTTCCACTCCCACCATCAACTCACATTCGCTCATTCTATTTCATTCTTTCCATCTTAACCCTCGTTTGTCGAGGAGCTGCCGTTCAAGCTCCACTCACTTTCATCAATAACGCCACAGCCGCAAGATGCGACTTCTCGGAACTCTCGCAGCCGTTCCCTGTGTCTTCTCGGTCTACGTCGCTGGGGAACATGGGTATCTCTGCTCGGATGCTGAAGGAACTACAAACACAACCTATGATCAAGCTCTCGTGGAGAAAAGTGTGACGGATGCATGTCTCCCAGACAGCGAGCTGTCCGCGGCCGAACTCGCGGCAAATGTCGAGGCGAAGAAGTATCCTCAGGTCTGGGTTAACTCGGAAGATTATGGCTTCAACGACACCGTTTTACTCTGGAAATACCAAGGAAACAGCTCTGAGTCTCTAGGTAAGGTGCCACCAAACTTACATCACTTTTTCAAAACTCTCAACCCCTCAGATAGCCGGTAACTAACTATTATGCAGAAGAGGTTGACGTCCTTGTTTTTACCAATAAATCCTGTGACATTTTGGGATTACTACAGACATCCGATGACCATTATACGATCTGTAAAGGTGCTAATGAAAAATATGACAAGAAAACAAGCTCAGAGATCTTGTCTAAAAATCTTCGGCCGGATATCCCTAGCAATGACCTCAAAAATTCATCCCCTTTAACAGGTGTTACTGAACCATTTTTTAGCAGTAATTCACCAGGACCGCAAAGGTCTATGCCAGGCCCGCCTTCACGAGCTGAGTCATTTCGTAACCCTTTAAGATCGTCCAAGGGCGCTCCATCACGACCCAGGGGCCCTCCTCCAAGTGGCATGGCCCCTCCAAGACCCGGCGGCCCTCCTCCAAGTGGCATGGCCCCTCCAAGACCCGGGGGCCCACCTCCAGGTGGCATGGCCCCTCCAAGACCCGGGGGCCCTCCTCCAGGTGGCATGGGCCCTCCAAGACCCGGCGGCCCTCCTCCAGGTGGCATGGGACCTCCAAGACCTGGGGGTCCTCCAGGATTTGGTGCCCCTCCTGGTCAGGACTTTCCCCCGGCCGCACCACCACGTCCGCTTTTGGATGAGTTCAATAGACCCCATGATAGATCATTTCTAGCTGATGCGATAGCTATGCATCCATATCCGGGTCCTACAGATTATAATCCTGACAGTTACGACACAACCACCTACGACTCAGAAGATGAATATTATTAGGATCATCATTCTACATTCAGAATGATGGAAGTGGACATTGACTCCCAAGACGAGACTGCAGGGGCTGTATGTACTTAGAGATCTTGGCATCACAGATAAAGATTAGGATCAGAGCGTTTTTTTCATTGCTTTTAAATGAATAGATATCAATCTTTTGTAAATATCATCTACCACAAACAATCTACATGTTCTACTTCGCTCCCGTAGAAAAGTTTTACCTTTTTTTAGTCATTCAATGTGTGTTCAGATATCTAGCTTTTACATACGAAATTTCCCATTCTGTGACGGCTAGTAAAGCGATAGATTGCCTGTACCCTTTGCTGAAAACCACAGTCACATTCATGGCATCAGAGCTAAGATACTCTCGTTTTGAAAGTTTGACTCTGCCTTCGCACTAAGTATAGTAGGTGATCAGCGCACACCTTAATAATGGGAGCCAAACCGGGACAGCTACTAGTGTTCGGAATATTGAAATCATGTATATAAATAGGGCGTTGGACATGGCATTAGTTTTGTTATTCAGTTGATGAATAAACTACCTTTTGTCATTCGAAACTGTTACATGTGCGTACGTGTTGGATAACTCTGTAAAGTGGCTCAGGATGTATTGTACAGGTCTGGAGTTTGATTAGGATACGCACGGCGATCTGGCGTTGTGGGAGCACTGATGAAATCTTTATCACTACTCGTATAGTTTCAATCTCATTATGTATCTTGTTGGTAGCCATAGGTTTGTTACCCTTTCAAGCTTGAGTTCTTGCTTGCCATTATTAATTCATTTTATTATCCCGACTGAGTCTATGACTATGTAGGACACGCAGGTTCTCTCTTCCAACAGGCCAAGGATACCTATACCAGTAGTATATCCCCTCCTATGCCTCCCTTACAGCTCCCCTCAAACAGTACCACCCCTCACAAGTCCTCATTCGATCACACACTTAGAGGGGCCCTTAGCCCTTCATTATCTCCCCTCTCCAGCCAACAAAACGATGGCCATTTACGGGTGTATGGAAGCCGGGAAAATTCGCAAAAACCACTGGGTGTGGGGCCCTTCTAGTACCGAAATTAGGACTTAATCCGAAGATATAGTGATCCTTCTGAAGGGTTCGAAGAGGCCGGCCAGCTGGGCGCTGTAGAATTATGGATACCTCGAGGATTTCACCCTCTGCCTTTCTTGCATCCTTCCAACTCCTTCCCGAGGGTCGTGCTTGTTGTACTAGAAGTTGTATAGAGAAGCTTAAGCTGTTAGCCTTGTATTTAATATCACCTAGTGAGGCGATTTGGAAAATTGAAGAGTCTGAAAACTGTAGTGGAGACTTGTTGATTTAACCCACATAGTATCAGAGCACTATTTAAACTAATTAATACATCTAAATGAAGGAAACGATTCACTCGTTTATGCTAAATAATTGGGAGGCTGGTCAATGTATGAGTCGTCATGAATGTGGCTAGTAATAATAGAACCTCATTACGTTCCGTATTAATGCGACTCTTCATTGCCAAGTAGCACTAATTTCAACAGTTCTGAAATGTCAGAAAAGTGTTGATAGAGCGTGATTGCTGTATGGTAGCTTAGCCCAACTTCTTTTGTGCCGTTGACTCATCGACAAAAGAAGCCCTCCTGGCTAAGCAGCCGAAATCCTAGTCTTGGCGCCCGCAGAAAATCCAAAGTTGAAAATCCCTCGAAAATATCGGTCCCCACATCGTCTTCAGAGACCTGATCCCCCTCTCGCTCCACATCTTGGCTACCTGTTCTCCCTCAAGTTGTTTGTCCTATTAGAGAAACAGTCCCCCTTAAGCCAGGGTCCAGGCTTTGTATTTTTCGACTCGAAGGAGTTGGACTCGATATCTTGGTCAAAAAATCAGTCGGCAGAGATTTCACATCCGCAAAAAAGTCGTTGAAAAACTCATCGCCGCCAACATACGATTCACGAATGGATTTAGGTCTATTTGGGGGTCGTATTCAAACATCTGATATCTCTCAAACTCCTTATATATTTGCAAAGATCCATTTCTCAACCGATTCTACACCTGCGACCCACCTCTATACTCATCACATCACCTACCTACGCACGCCCTAATGAGGAAAGTCATAATGGAAACAGGAAGTGTCAAAAAGAGGGAGAAATGGGAAGATACACCAAGGGGATTACACATATCTCCAATGACGACAACTACCCGACGGTACGATATGAAGGTGCAAAGCTAGAGCAACGATGAGATCTTGGTCGGCATTTATATTTCGGAGTCAAAGAGAATGTCAAGGGCTCGGGTGCGTTTTTGCCGAGGCTGAGGAGGAATTTGCGCTCCGGCGTGCCAAAAGAGGGTTCTCTGGACGGTTGGGCTTGACATGATTCAATACATGGGTGAAATCTGAGATAGTCCGGTAATTTAAGTGGGACGAGGTAGATGTACTTAATGGTAGTTGTCCTGATCAAGCCCGGCCCCACCCGTGCTTAAGCTCTAATAGGAGTGCAACGGTAGTCATGTAACCCAGCACGTTAATGAACAAAAAATAACCCCTGATTCTCAACATCACAATCAACTCATCCTCTAATCTCGCAATAGATATCTCTCGAAACCTCATTTTCAGAAACCAAAGTTCGCAAGCAGCTAACTCGCGATCAATGCATTGAAATAAGAACAGTAAGAAGACTTGGCTTGACATTACAAAATATAGCCAACGAACTTGGCTTTACAACGTGCGTATGCTCGAGAGGATGTGAATCCTACACCTCGCAAAGGATGCTCGACAAAATTGAGCGCGAAACAAATCGATGAGATTGAGACTTTCGTCCGGCAATCTCCTGAAAATCGACACATATGCTATTTAGAACTAACGATGGGACTTCTCGGAACTGGAGATGCAGTGAGCATTTACTTTCAAATGCTCTCGAAAAAAGAGATCACAGCATATGCATTGCTCGGAAGAAGCTTCCGTTAAGTGTGGTTAATATGCACGAAAGATGTGAATCTGTCATTAAGGCAAATGCAGGGTACACAAAGTATTAGGATGGAGCAGAATAATAAAAAACATGTAGTTTACCTTCATTTTATTTGCGAGCCAAACTGAGAGCCTCGATTTGTACCCTTTTAGTACAGCGCAATTATTTTTGAAATAGATGTGTAGTTTTAAATAATATCAATTGTTTTTTTTTTTTTTTAAATGAGGACCATTGTACAATTCCGTTAGAGTTGAAAACCATCCCCATTAACTTTGACTTTCACAGGGGATCATTGGATAGTACCCTTGTTTGCATAACTAGTGAACGGAGTAGATATGGACCTACATGAAGACCAAACCAATCAAATCCTTAGTGAGAGGAGTCTCACCCCAGTTATTTTGACCCATTTGCCTTTTCTATCCATAAGACACTGTGTTAAATCTCCTCGGTGTACCCACAATAAAACGACACAGTATTATACTTCAACATTCTATTCATACCCTTACAGCATAGCATTGTATGAGTCTATTCGCTGTCGCATAGAAGTAATAACATCGCCGGCAGAGACGAATTCTCCAGCTTCCAGTGGTGCCGGTATAATCGCTCATTATACTCTGCATATCTGGGATGGCCAAGAAGAATCGCATCCGAATCGATGTCAAAAGCAACCTTAAGCATATCTCCATTTGACGACTTCTCGACAATGCCTCTCTTGTCATTCTCATCTGAGTCCTCAACCTTTTTCTAACTGTTGGAAATTCAGACTCTATGTGTCTGAAGTTTCCCATGATTGGAACAACTAAGATTCTCACACATGACTCACGGCCTGACTCACGACCTAGATGATTGATATCTCCCTTACTGAGCATGTTTGATGCTTGAGACTCGACTAGTGCATGGTATGGTCTGATACATGTGTAGGCTTTCATCCACCGACCCTGACCCCATACTCATATTGTATACTGTCGTGCGTTTCATTGTCATTGTTAGAGTATGGAACGAGTGATGGAAGGTATCTAGTCTGGATTTGGTCTATCAAGATTACATGTATATAAGCTGTCTAAGAATCACTAAGACAGATAATCAAATCAAATCAATTTATTCAAACCATCTTTTATTTCTCCACAGTTTATCACATATTCTCCCGATTCATATCATTATTATTCTATTCATAAAATCGCGCCCATATTCTTTGAGCCGCCTTACTCATCGAACCCATACCGGTTTTCCAACACTAACCACGCATCATCTCGCCTCGACGACCAATAAAGAAGTTGCTCCAATTGCAAACAGGAGCTTGTACAATTAATTTCCAGCCATCTATCACTGCATATCTACGATGCTATTTATATCCGCAAGGAGGAAATCAAGTCGAAAAATACAAAGCCTGGGGCCTGGCTTAAGGGGGACTGTTGCTCTAATGGGACAAACAACTTGAGGGAGAACAGGTAGCCGAGATGTTGAGCGTGATGATGAAAAGGTCTCTGAAGACCATGCGGGACCGATATTTTCGAGGAGTTCTCAAATTTGGATTTTCTGTGGGCGCCAAGACTAGGATTTCGGCTGCTTAGCCAGGAGGGCTTCTTTTGTCGATGAATCAACGGCACAAAAGAAGTTGGGCTAAGCTACCATACAGCAATCACGCTCTTTCAAGACTTCTCTGATATATCAGCAAGACTTTTGGGAAGAAGTTGGAAGGAGGCTAGAAAGGCAGAGGGCGAATTCCCCGAGGTACCCATAAGTCTGCTGCACTCGGCTGGACGGCCCATTCGTATCTTGAGAGCTCCGCATCCAGTTGTTGTTGCGATTTTTCCCGGCTGCCATACACCCGCGAATAGCCATCGTTTCGTTGGCTGGAGAGGGGAGATAATGAAGGGCAAAGGGCCCCTCTAAGCGTATGATCGAATGAGAACTTGTAAGGGGTGGTACTGTTTGAGGGGAGCTGTATGGGAGGCATAGGAAGGGACATACTACTGGTATAGGTATCCTTGGCCTGTAGCCAGAGAGAACCTGCATGTCCTACATAGTCATAGACTCAGACAGGACAATAAAATGACATAAATAAATGTAAGTAATTATATCATCCACTCTCACACAATTTCGTATTATGGCTTCCGCATTGCTCATAATCTCAACACAAAGAGCACTGTCGAGGTGTGGCCTGGGTCATAAAGGAGCCCAATGTGCGAGATAGTCGTAGAATCATATAGTAAAATTAAAAACATCCATAACTCACTCCAGCCTGCTGGAACTGCGGATCTAATATGCACTCGGAAGCCGAGTATACGGCCCTCACACGATGTCGCAATTGTGATGGAAACCTCACTGATCGGATTTCCGAGACTTCCAAGCTAGACCCAGAAAGTCCGGACCGGTGACCAAAGAGCAAGGAAGGTTTGCAGCATTCACCCGTGTCAGAGCTACAGCCAAACAGGTCGAAGAGGAGATGATCGCTTCTGCAAAGGACGTCGCTATGGCGGAAGGATCGGCTTTCGGAGTTCTGGAATCCAAAGAAGAAACCTAAGAATTCGATAGGCCTTGGAGAAGTCTACAAAGACATCATCAATACAGAGCAGGAAATCGGGCGACAAAAGGAGAGCCTGCGAGCTCATCTTTCGCTCTCAGCGGAAATTAGGGAAAGTCGCTTGGAAGATGTGACGGGAAATGGAACGGGCAGGAAGCGCGGCACCTCGACCACATTTGAAATTCCTATAAATTTGATTATGGTTTAGCTCTTAACTTCATCTGCATTTGCTGAGGTTCCCGCGGTTGGTATGAGTTGGGCCGGTAAGCAGTGATCCCCGCCGGCTCCACTGAACCCGCACCCACAGTGCACATAGAGCATTAACTTAGGGCCCAATCCAAATTAAAAAAATAAATCAGTTGGTACAATATGTTGGAAATGGAGACACGGAGTGTTGTGGACGTATGGGCCCTCCATTTCGTCTAGGTTCCCGACACGATCTCGTGTGTATTTAAGAGGTTGGAGTAGGTAATATGGTAGCACTTCAGGCTACCTATTGGACATATGAGCGGCTGTATGGCGTGGGCGCCAGGAGGTTATTGGGGGTTTTCTATGCCTAGATGGCGCCACACTCGTTTATGCTGTGGCTTAGGCTCTGTGTCGCTTACACTTGTACTTGTAGCGCACATCTCCTAAACTTATATTTGTAATCCGAACATGACACTCTTTTAGTCGACTTTTACTTTCGTTCCATAAATATTGCGCCCATTTCATTGCGCGATATTTACAACACAATACGGTATACGCGCGTCAATAAAAGGCAATAAAATAGATTCAATAACATTCACTTATATTCATTCTATCTATCTGTTCTAATACTCTTGGTGTCATGTAAGAATGCCAAGAGAACATAACCTAAGCTGCACTACTGTTACAATAGGTTAATACATATTCCACCTATTACTAGAGTGCACATGACTGCTGTTCCAACAAAATCTGTCCATAGCTCTGGGCTTCATGGTGGCCAGCAAGACGAAGAATTAAATTGCCTGTCATTTAAGATAAGAGGCCTAAAAGACACAAATCAGGAGATAGGACCAATGTAAATAAGGATGATTAGCCCCGAGTAGTTGTGGGCAATGTGAATAAAGTTGGAAGTGTTGAAGCATTTCTGTTGAATGATAGAGATTAGGTAAAGGTTAATGGGTCACGATGTATGAGGTAACTTAGATGTGGATGCGTGAGTTCCGTACTATTGTTGCTCTACTATTAATATTATTGTTTCAATTATTTGTCCTTTCTGAGTCTACGACTATGTAGGACTTGCAGGTTCTCTCTTCCAACAGGCCAAGGATACCTATACCAGTAGTATATCCCTTCCTATGCCTCCCATACAGCTCTCCTCAAACAGTACCACCCCTTACAAGTTCTCATTCGATCATACGCTTAGAGGGGCCCTTTGCCCTTCATTATCTCCCCTCTCCAGCCAACGAAACGATGGCTATTTGCGTGTGTATGGCAGCCGGGAAAAATCGCAACAACAACTGGATGCGGAGCTCTCAAGATACGAATGGGCCGTCCAGCCGAGTGTGGCAGACCTGTGTATACCTAGGAGCGTCTCACAACCATCCTAGCCTCCTCCTTCCTCTTTCCCCAATTCATGCCGCAGGACATATCGAAGGTCGAGAAAAACTGCCGTGATAGAGCCTAGCCCAGCATCTAAAAGCCGCTACCGACGTGGGGGCGTCAAGTAACTCATGTATTACAGACGGCCTCGGGCCCAGTATTTTCGGGAGTCAAGATTAGTTGGGACAATATTATAGACGAGTCGAAATCTGCTTTTCTTGAGTGCGGAAGGGCCTTTTACTTTGTGAAGGAAATTCAGACTCTGTGTATCTGAAGTCTCCCTGTAATTGACACAACTAAGATTCTCACACATGACTCATGACCAAGATGATTGATATCTCCTTTATTGAGCATGTTTGATGGTTGAGATTTAACTTCTCCATGGTATAATTTGATACCTGTGTAGAATTTCATCTACCGACCCTGACCCCATAATCATGTTGTATACTGCCGTGCGATTCATTGTCATTGTGAGAGTATAGGACAAGTGATGGATGGTATCTGATATACATTTGGTCTATCAAGTACACATATCTGTAAGCTGTCTAGGAATCACCCAGACAGATAATCAATTAATTCATTCATTTCATTTTTTAATTCTCCAAATTATATCACTTATTGTCCCAATTCATATCACTATTATTCTATCCATGAATCTCCCCTGTATACTTTGATCCGCCTTCCTCATCGAGCCCAAACATATTTTCCAACACATTGCTTTCGTGGGCTTTTTGTACGCCCGCCCGTGGATAGCACGTGTTGTAACATAACGAGGGCTTCTCTGGCTACCGTTCATCATTTGGTATCGCAATAGCTTTCCTCATTCCCAGCATCATTATCGTCGACATGGTCGTCTGATAAGTTATCGTCAGCGTATCTTTGGCAGAGGGGGAGATGACTCAGGTCAAAGTTGATAAGATGTCAAGCAATCTCGACTTTACAAACTTTACAGTGAGATCTGGAGGTTCGTTGGGGACAGCACTGACAGGTGTTGAGACTAGCTCTCCCTTGCCGTTGACTATATAGCCCATCTCATTTGACGGAATTTCGCCAATACATGGCAAGTTAGACATGACTTATTAATACACTTCCATCACCCTCGACCGCTGACTTTGATCAAAATAAACTCTGGAGTGCCGACCATAGCATTTGGTGCCAGTTGATTGTATCTAGCTTCCGACACCTAACAACGGTTCTCAGGTTACATGCCTGCTTTAACTTTTTGTCTCGCATGGTCTATATAGCGTCACGTATTACGACACTTCGGACAGTTGCAAAAACTGCTCTCACAGAAAGATCACGATGATCCTTGTCGAGCTTTCATTTATATGGTCATTGGCTCAGGATTTCGCTTACCTTCCCACATCTCTATGTAAAGATTGGCGTAGAAAGCTGACCAGGTTTCAGGCCACCATGGTGATTAAACGTAGAAGAGGTCAGAACTTCCTGTACAATCCATAAAAACGTAGTAATCTAGGTCAACGAATCAGAAACGTAGAGGGAAGTTTGCTCGACGATAAGTCAAGTAGAAACTTTGCTACAACGTCCATCCTAGGTGGTTGACACGATTCTCCATTCACGGCTTTTGATTCTATTCAGCCTGACCCAATTTACCTTTTACATGATGTGGAAGTTGACCATCTATCCATCCATCCGCCGATCCACCTACCCGGATGTACGCCAATATCTACTAAATGAGATTATATTTATGGAGCAGTCAATTGGTGGGGTAGTGAAGGACGAGACATTCTAATCGTTAGCGTCGTGCTGGAGAAAGAAGCCATTTACAGAACAGACTCATGAAATGCCTGTCGACATCTAGTCAAATTGGTTAAACAAGGTGAACTATCGCGTGTAGTGTGCCCGAAGTGAGACATCTTAGGTTCATCTCTCCGCGTCATTCGGGAAGATGCACTGCTACACTAATGCAGAGGAATACTCTAGAATATTCAACCACACAGACGTGTCGTTAGATGCGTCGCGGAACAACAATTGTGTTGTAGGCGAATGAATACGACACCAGGTATCCTTGCATGCTGAACTTTACAGATCCAGTCCTTGGCAACCTCCCCACTAGCCACTTTTGATACGATGGCTTTGGAGCAAAGTGGATTGGAACGACGGAGAAGGATAAGCTAAGGAGAGGCGCAATCTTAAAGAAAGATGGATGAAGAAAATTTGCATCCGCAACATCTTGCGCGAAGGGATGAATTATAGCTCAACTGAAACTGAGACTCAGGCCAGAGCTTGTTCCATCACGCTAGCTATCTTCGACGCTCTTGGCCGATGGAATCGTCAACCCAATGACCTCGAGCCAAGTGTGGGAAGAGAACTTGTGATGCAGACTCAACCAGTCGTAGTTCCTGCTCGATAGATTGGCAATTTACTGCACCTCTGAAGTCTCTCTGCTGTGCTCCACCCATCTAAGTTTGGAAAATGAGAGTTCGGCGACGATGATGATGATGGGAAGAAAATAGAGGCAAAAGCTGTGTATAAAAATCTTGCATTTTCCTCTCTCACCACCTCACATTCGCTCATTCTATTTCATTCTTTCCAGCTTAACCCTCGTTTGTCGAGGAGCTGCCGTTCAAGCTCCACTCACTTTCATCAATAACGCCACAGCCGCAAGATGCGACTTCTCGGAACTCTCGCAGCTGTCCCCTGTGTCTTCTCGGTCTACGTCGCTGGGGAACATGGGTATCTCTGCTCGGATGCTGAAGGAACTACAAACACAACCTATGATCAAGCTCTCGTGGAGAAAAGTGTGACGGATGCATGTCTTCCAGACAGCGAGCTGTCCGCGGCCGAACTCGCGGCAAACGTCGAGGCGAAGAAGTATCCTCAGGTCTGGGTTAACTCGGAAGATTATGGCTTTAACGAGACCGTTTTACTTTGGAAATACCAAGGAAACAGCTCTGAGTCTCTAGGTAAGGCGTCACCAAACTTACATCATATTTTCGAAACTCTCAACCCCTCAGATAGCCGGTAACTAACTATTATGCAGAAGAGGCTGATGTCCTTGTTTTTACCAACAAATCCTGTGACATTCTGGGATTACTACAGACATCCGATGACCAGTATACGATCTGCAAAGATGTGAAGGAACAAAATGACAAGAAAACAAGCTCAGAGATTCTTTCTAAAAAGCCTCGACCCGGTATTTTCAGTGGTTGGATATATGGTGACATGCACAATGGAAGGGGCTTCACTTCCGATGACGCTATAACCATTCCACAACCTCATTACGATGACTTCGACTCTCAGGGGCGGCGTATTCCTAGGCCGATCGCGCCTCAACCATACCCTGGACAGGGAGGTGGACCACCTCCAAGTATGCCGGGGCCCCCGATGGGTGGTCCTCCAAACATGTCAGGGCCCCCGCGTGGTCCTCCTCCAAGTATGTCACGGCCTCCGCGGGGACCACCGCCTTTGCAGGGCCCACCAAGTAGTTGCGGACCCGGTGGCTGCCCACCACGTTAACGTTTTCTCTGGGGCGCCCAGTACTAGAGTTCCACCTTGGGGAAGTTATGGAAGAGACTCAGTCAGCGATGATTCGCAAAAATTTGATATGGAGAATACTGAAGACATTTTTGGAATCAATGAAGTGAACATCAGCCGTCAGTCAAGGCCACAGGAGCTGTGGGGATTTAGATTTTAGTATCACAAATAAATATCAGGATCAATGGGCCTTTTTCCTTGCTCAAAGAAGGAAGGAAACAATATTTTGTAAATGCTATATACCAAAATACATCAACATGTGTTCTACCTCGCTTAGGTATAAAAGCTTGAAGTTTTTTTGACCCATTCAATGTATACTCATCTACCTAGCTGTGCCAAATGAACAGTCCTAGACGTTTGTGTTGGATAGTTCTTATGACGTCAAAAACATTCTTACTCCGAATTTTATATGTAAAAAATGTCGTGTAGTACGCTTGCATCTGCTGAAAAACGGTCTCTTCCCGTAAATCTCGACAAAGAGGAGTTCTACAACCATTGGTTACCCAAGCACGTCTTCCATGTAACAAAAACTCCTTACAGGATGCGTTCCGGTGATGTCGAGAATCTTCGGATGGTGAAGGTGTCGGTGAAAATTTTGATCTGAACTACTAAAGAACGATACTGTGAGATCAGACTGGCGATGTGCCACGTGGTAGAAGACAGGGAGAACGAAAGGTAGTCGGAAGGGGTGAGCCGGGAGGGACGAGTCGAAGTGTGATGATGCCAAGTCGTCTGATAATTTAAGGAAACATAGAGTATAAAGTATATGATTAGTTTTACAAGATGAAGAGGCTGGAGAGCTACAGGGCGTGTCATAATTCAACTCAGGCTAGGGGATGTTGTTGTTTTTATTGTTTTATTCAAGTCCTAAGCTAAAGCTCCAAATCCACTATGAGTACAGGATCGATGTTCACAGCCAGAACTACATCTAAGACATACCCAGCTTGATTCCAGCGGATGAACCACCACAAAACTAGCAGTAAGTTAAAAATATTCGCCGACGCTAACTCCTTTCCCAAGCATGAGAGAAGAGCAATTGGTCTCCAACCTTTGATTGTCGTTGGGTCTCAATCGTTCTTTTGAAGGAGTACAACTTCAGCTAATTTGAAACACTTTGGATGGGTGCCAAGCAGAATGCAAGCTCGGAACAGTTGGGAAATCCAAGGCCCAATTTTATTCCAACACGCCTCCAGCAGGTTTACAGAGACTCCGTCTACTCCTGGGGCCGTATTTCCGCAACCAATGGTACAGGCTCGGACCTCTTCATCTGTTACGTCCTGTTCCCATGGTATCCGACTGCTGCTCGCGACTGTACATGGTGACAAGTCGTCTGATGCCTGAAATCGTGCCAGGAGGGAGTCGCAAAGGATCGTGGCCCGTTTTAATGGATCTGTTTTCAACGTCCCATTGTGGTTCAGTGGCGGAGGGATACTGGCCTGTCTGGGGTTATCCATTCTCATTAGCTTGAATACATCAGTCGGCGTATTAATTGATTCAACCTGTTGGGTTTTGAACTCCTTTTTCGAGGTCTTCACAACTGATCGGAGCTTTTTCGCGCTGTGTGCCCGTTGGCTGGGAGTTATCGCGCTTTTGTACCCAGCAAAGGCTGCCTTGCACTCTGGGGTCCACCACGGAGCAGATCTACCGCAGCGGGCTTTTGGTCGTGTTCCTACTGCATTGATTGCATTAGTGAGATGTAAACAAATTTCCTCGGCATACCCTTCAACCCTCTCGATTGTGTCAAGGACTGGTGGTGGTCGGACCCACTGTGCAATTACCTTGGCGTATCTGGGTAGCTTTTCCTTTGTTGCTCGGAGTTTTGCCTTTTCGGGTCTCATCACTGAGTTGCGAACTGGGATTTGTCCTCGGATAGGGAAGTGATCGCTAGTGACACATCCACCACGATCTACCCAAGCACGGGCGCCGTCGATATTACTCCAAACTAGATCTAGCGTGTTGCCAGCTCGGTGAGTGGGCTCCCCAACAATATGGTAGTTCAAATGGTGTTTGTCTGCCCATTTTTCGATCATTTCTCCTTGTCCATGAGGACGTTCCATGCCAGTTCTCCAAGCCGAATATATCGAATTAAAGTCCCCGGCAGCGACGGAGTTTGGTGGTGGAATCCAGTTGATGAGAGGCTGTATAGCTTTCAAGTCATTGGGTGCCTTATAAACGTTGAGAAAAGTAATGCCGTTCACTTCAACCCAGCAATAGTCTCCTGTGGACACAACATAAGGAAAGATCTGTGTCGCCGATATCTTTTTATCGTCTATCCGGGTATAGGTCACAGCCCTCGGCGTAACATTTTCGCCGCCGTTAGGCAGATGATAGGTATATCCTGGGTGATCCTTTGTTGTGTTCTTTTGTTTATTCCACAGAGGTTCTTGAACAAGAACCACGTCGATACCCAGCTCAAATGCTCGGGCAAGCGCAATGTTTTGCGTTGAGCCTCCTCTACCTACGTTTATTGACATAAAGCTTAGAGTAGGAGAGAGGCTCGAAGAGACCCGTGGGGTGCCCTTCACAAAGATTTTTGCTGGTTTGATGCCTCATCGACCTCGGCTACAGTCGCTGTAGCGTCGGACATGAGAACTTCAAAACAGTTGGTCGATTTGAAACCTGGCTGGTTAGTATTTGACGCTTCTGCGGCTGCTGTCATCGCTGCCTCTGCGTGTTTGACAGCTGCTTTGGCCCGAGTAACTGCTGCGAATTCGCGTTGGCTAGCCTGCCTTATGGTCTGAAGGTTTTCCCTGGAGGCCATTCCAGACTTTGTTGGACGAGCTAGACAGTCCTGACTATCTGACCTGTGTGGACCTCCGAAGTTGCGGCACTTGGTGTGTGCCTTGCACTCCGCGATGGAATGCATAGTTGAAGTACAATTCCAGCAGACTGGGGCGCGCAAGCAGCCTCTGGTGCCATGGAATTGTAGGCATCTTTTGCACTGGTCAATGCTCTGACGAGGCTGGTGGCGGACTGCAATCCCAGAGTCGTCGAAAAGTCGGAAACCTGGCCGAGGAATCGATGCTTTTTCGAAAAGGGCTACCCATGACTGGTATGGGGCTCCAAGTCGGCTTTTCCCATGTTGGCGAACTTACCGAAACAGCCTTGGTGACCCTGACTATCTGTTCGGATTAGGTCCTGGTCAACAATATCTAGCCTAATTGAGCTATGATGCAGGCTACTGTTACAGTTATTCATGGGGTCATCATCAGGGTTGTGAGTAGTTTCGGTTTTGGTGTGGGTTGTTGGATTTATACCTGAGCGTGTCGCATATTAGTCAGACATGCGACTCAAGTAGCATATGCACGGTAAACCTCAACCCCAAAATGATGATACGAATCAGGCTTTACATGCTACGTCCTGTATGGCTAGCGTGGTTGGAATATGGGGAATTTACCTGTAGATAGATAAAGATGCTGTAGCCCTCTGATAGTTGGGACAAGTCTTCTACAATATTATATCGGAATCAAATCTAGCCGCTCATTTAGCAATCTCATGAATTATTTCCTATGTCTGTGATAACAGACATACATATACAATATTGACAACAAGTTTTAATGTCGATAACTATCTCGTCTGTTACCATCTCTTCTATGGCGATAACTCTGCCCATTATTGTATTAATTGCAACTGGGACTGTTGCGATTCTAAGTGAGCCCAGGTCTGATGCTTCTTCCAGTATGGCATCTTGCTGGACGAGGGACCCAGTAAGGCTTAACATGATGGCGCGTGCCTCTTGGGTTTCGGCTCTAATTGCGAAGCCAGTTGGAACACGGTATATGTGCTCAATATTGGCTTGAGGAATTTCGAGCAATTTTGCCACAGCCTCCCTAACACCAAACGGTGATAGCTTTCTCCAAGGGTGTTCATTTCCAAGGCGGAGAAACAAGCGTTCATCTTTGGTGCCTGATTGCGTTGGGACGGTCGGGTTTTTTGAAGGTCGCGTCGAGTTTGCCGCCTTTGGCATAGCCTGCGCGACTTTTGTAGCTGCCGGGGTAGTCTTTATACCAGTGCGGGTGATTGAGGCCCAAGTGGTTTTGGCCTGGGAGACTTTGTCATGAGTCACTTTACTTTGTGGCTCATCTTGCTTTTTGGCGGCACGTTCTATAATCTTGCTGCCAGTAGCCTGGGTTTCAGGGCGCGAGGGAAGTACTGGGAGGACTGTGCCCGGTCCCGATACCATGAATTGAGATATTGCAGCTCTGATGTAGACTTTCATAGAGCCTATAAATTGAACACTCGTCCCTTTGGATAGGGGGGAGAGAGCAATTTCGACACCGTTTATTGCAGCAGTGCAGATCTTTACATTTTCTGCTGTTTGTTTGTTTGTTCATTAACGTGCTAGGTGAAGTAACTACCGTCGCACTCCTACTGGAGCTTGAGCACGAGTGGGGTCGGGCCGGATCAGGTTAACTACCGTGCAGTACAAATGCCTCGTCCCACCTAAATGACCGGAACAATGCCAAAATGCATCTATGTGTTGAACCATGACAAATTTGGCAGCCCAGAATTGAAAACAAAACAAAAACTTTCCCGCGAAATCCCGCATTACAAAAGAAAAACTTCAACAATCTCCCTTCCTCTGTTCCGCCTCAGCCACCACACGCCTGAGCCTTGAATTCAATCTCTCTGTCCATGCCAAACCACCTAGGCCTTTGATCTATCACCTCAGAGTCACAGGTATCTCTGCCATCCCCCGACTAGCCTCCGCGTATATTCCACTCTCCTGGACGTAGTCCCTGAACAGCTGCCATCCCCTTGATCCAAGCATTGTTTCCAGAGCCGGCACTCTACGCTTTCCGCTTTTCAGCCGCCATGTTGCCAGTGCTTTTCGACACTGTACAAGGTGACCAATTGATTTTTCCCTCCCGCACTCGCAGTAAAGTTTGGCGTAAGTGTGGTTGAAGCGGCGATGATATGCCGCAAAGTCCCCATGTCCAGTTCGAGCAGCGATTAAGCGGGCGTAGACCGCTCTAGGTAGC